GGAAAACAAATACTACATGCTAACACATATATATGGAATCTAAAAAAAAAAAAAGGTTCTGATGAACCTAGGGGCAGGAAGGAATAAAGACACAGATGTAGAGAATGGACTTGAGGACATGGGGAGGGGGAAGGGTAAGCTGGGACGAAGTGAGAGAGTAACACTGACATATACACTACCAAGTGTAAAATAGATAGCTAGTGGGAAGCAGCTGCAAAGCACAGGCAGCTCGGTGTTTTGTGACCACCTAGAGGGCTGGGATAGGGAGGGTGGGAGGGAGACGCAAGAGGGAGGAGATATGGGGCTATACGTAAGCATATAGCTGATTTACTTTGTTATACAGCAGAAACTAACACACCATTGTAAAGCAATTATACTCCAATAAAAAATGTTTAAAAAAAAAGAAATCATCCAATTTGAAGAGCTGAGAAAGAAAGTTTGAAGAAAAATGCACAGAGCCTCAGGGACTTACCCTCTGGGGCAATATCAAATGGTTTAACATATGAGTAATTGGAGTCCCAGGAGGAGAGAAAATGAGATGAGGCCCCCCCCAAAAAATTGAAGACATAATAGCCAAAATGTCCCAATTTGATGAAAAATGATAACTTGCAGATCCAAGAAACTGAGTGAACTCTGAGGAGTTTAATAGTGGAGATCACCCTTGGACTAGGTCAATAATTACTTGGGTACTGATGTTTCCACCTGGACAAACCTTTAACACAGACTAAAGTGCTGCAAAATGGTTTGGGCTTAGGGGAAGCAAGTGAAGAGAAAAAAAGAAGAGTTAATGTGTCATTGGTTAACACTGTCATTTGTAACAGAGCAGAAACTGAAGTTTCATAGATATTTGCTTGGTCCAATTGTAGGTTAGATTATGGAGTGGTTACATTCAGTTCCACAGCTGGTTTTGTGACTGACCACAGCAGCTTAATCATCGTTCTGCATGGAAGCCCTGGGTGATGTGATTTCACAGCCCTGGGAGGAGACTTCATGCCGCTCTGCTCCATAAGACCTTCCCACCTGGGAAACTTTTGGTATATGGTTAAAGAAGAGCACTTTCCTTAGAGTCAGACTGCTAAGGATGAAAACTCAGCCCAGCCACTGGTTAGCTATGTCACAAACTTAGCATCCCTGAATCTCAGTCTCCTCAAAGGGGCAATTAGAATACCCACATCAGGTGGTTCTGTGAGGATGAAATGAGATGATAATGTAGCCCAGTGCCTGGCACATAGTCAATTTCTCTCTCTTTCTCATTTAACCAACACTCACCGAGACCAACTACCATAGGAACTAGCCTAGACAATGGGGATATAGTGCTGAACAAACAGCATTAAACATTCAGTTATTATTTTATTATTGCCTGAAATGTTTTTAATAGAGGGTAAAAACTTTCATTCACAATTAAAATTCATATATCCTGAAATTCGGCTTAAATTCCCTTTAACGTATGGATGATTGATAACAGATCTTTTGCAAAGAGCAGATTTTGACAGGAGAGACAGGGTGAGGATAACGGGCTGTGGCGACTGAAAGCATATGGGAGGGAGTCACTCTACACACAGCATTCACGGCTACAGCGCAGCAAAGTGTAGGGTTGACAGCAGGGACTGTTGGGGTCGAAGTGTGAAGTTGGAATTGGCCAAATTTACTGAAGTTCTCTGTGCCTGTTTTATTCATTCTGTAAAATGGGGATAAAATTAGTAGCATCCTCACAGGGTCAGCGTGCGTTATCCATGTGACAGCATTGGAAGGGCATGTGGTATGCTACGTGCTGGTAAGCTGTGGGATCTGGTAAACACTACGCAGTGGGAGCATGAATGAACTGGAGAGAGGGGCTGGGGCGGAGACACATCTGGCTTCACAGTCTGCTTAGTGCCAGCCCTGCCCGTGCAGGACTGTCTCCTCCCCCTGCACTCCTGTTAATATTGTATTTATACCACCGAAGCCATAACGAACAACGGAAACAATGGAAAGGCTCACGCTCTAGTGCCTGAATGGCCATAAATGCACAGTAGAATGGACCATTATCTGACACAGTGATGTTGCCCTGCTGACAAGGCCGGTGGCCTGGATGACAGGCTCTGAGTTGGAAGGAACCCTGAGGGTCAATGTCCAGCCCTCCCGCCAGTGCTGACTCCTCTGTGGCCACGTTGCTGGGGGTGCCACCTCCCCCAGCCTGAACACCTCTGTGGCAGGGGCTCCCGTCTGCCATGAGCTCTGGGTGTTGGGCATTCCCCTCTTGGATTGAGTACCATCTGCCTCCCGGGCCCACCTTCCGGTCCCAGTTCTGGCTTGTGGGACCATGAAGAACATATCTCATCTTACTTCCCCAAACAGCTTTCAGCTCCTGCCTCTCCTGAACACGTTCTGACGTACTGGGGGCACTCCCAGCAGTGGGTAGGCGCCTTGGGACCAAAAAGAGTTCCCCCAGCCTTAAGCCCAGTGGAAACCTGGGTTTCCCCTAACACAGGCAGCATGGCAAGACAGGAAGCGCAGGGCGCCGCAGGCAGTTAGCTTTTAAATTGATCTGTCTACAGGCAACTCACTACTTTATAATTGGTAATGATTTCTCTGTAATCACATGTGTGCTGGGGAATTCTTATGAAGTGAGAAAAACCCAACCTACAAATCATTTCTAAGATGTAATGAAATTTTGATGAAAGCTAAATTTAACAGTTAATGAAGTTGACATATTCATGGGTCTCATAGACATTAAACATTTATTAATTTTGATTTTGCTGTTTTCTTTTCATGTTTCAGAGCTCATAATTTTTTTTCAGGACTTAAAATTTTTCATACTCCCCAGAAAAGCACACAGGTGCTTTGCCTGTGGTGTCTAGTGGGTAAAATGACCATGTCCTGTCTCTTGGCCCATGGGTTAATTTGATCCTACCAAGGCCATCACTTCATGAAGCCATGTTGCCATGTCACTGCATCAAAGGGAACTCCTTCCCTCTAGTTCCTAGTTCCACATGCAAGGTGGAGCCTTTTGCAGATGTTGACAAAATTGGAGGAAGACAGGAATGAGGAAAGGAAGACAGGAACAAACTAATATTTATTCAGAACTTCCCTTGAGCAAGCCCCTGTGAGGGGAACTTTCAAATACATTCAGTTGAATGTTTAACCAGCACCTACTATGTGCCAGGCCCTTTGTTATAAAGTGGTGATGGGAGGGAGGTGAACATCATTATCCCCTTCTTCATTTTACAGTTTAGGAACTTAAGACTCTCGGGATGAAGTGACTTGCCAAGGTCACCCAGCCCCCAGTCAGTCACTGCAAGCCCAGGCTCTCTGATCCCACATCCCAGCTCTCTGCCTTTCCCTGCTGTGTTCAGTTGTACTTAAATCTGTCCATTTGCAAAGCTTTTCCTTCCATTGTCTTCCATAATTATCCTGTTCTATTATCCTCACTAGTAGTATCCAATTAGATAAAGAAACTTGACCTGATGGGGGCAGGATTGGCAGGCATGGGTGGAGAGAAAGTTAGCAAAAGATAATAAATGCTGATTTCAAAAAATAATCTTCCAGGGGCTTCCCTGGTGGCGCAGTGGTTGGGAGTCCGCCTGCCCATGCAGGGGACGCGGGTTCGTGCCCCGGTCCGGGAAGATCCCACATGCCGCGGAGCGGCTGGGCCTGTGAGCCATGGCCACTGAGCCTGCGCGTCCGGAGCCTGTGCTCCGCAACGGGAGAGGCCACAACAGTGAGGGGCCCGCGTACCGCAAAAAAAAAAAATCTTCCAGCATGTGGGATGAAGTCAGATTAATATCTCGGATGACAAACAGGAGCACGTCTTACAGTTTTTTTAATGCTCGATCGACTGGATTCTAGGATAACTAATAAAATTGATTCACATCTCCAGTATTTCAAAGTGAATTTCTACCAACCATGTCATTCCTTCCTAAGTACGGCGAAGCAAACCTTCCCCGAGCTTTCTATATAGCAACCTGCAGGGCACCTCCCCCTATCCCCAGGCATCCGAGGGTACCCCATTTCTACATATTGAAATCAGCTTCCCCCTAACTGGTACCTCCTTTTATATCTCCTGTTGGTGATTGTGTATGGTCATCTTGTCACCAAGCTGAAAGGCAGGAGGCATCCCTGGCTCCCTGCTCCCAGATTTCCACATCAGCTCCATCTCCAAGTCCTGGACTGTCAAAGCCTCTTTTCTGAACCCACTCTGCTGTCCTGGCCTGTTTGTCATGGACTCTGTTGTGGGTGATTCAGGTCTATAGAGAGCAAACAGTGGGCCACAAGACTGGGTCCCTTTCAGAAACACTTCTTTAGGGGAATTTGTTCCTGATAAAGAGAGGCCATTGACTTACAGACCACTGAAGAATTTTAAGGCACTGATGGTCGGGGCCAGCCAGACTGTGAGCTCAGGTGCCCATGGAAAGACTCCGTCCCTGCCCCGTCTCCCAGGTGCAGAGTGAAAACAAAGCATCCGTCCCACACCTCCACAGAAGCGTGACCCAGGGACCTCTTTGGAGAGGCACCAGTCAGTTTTTGCTGTCAGTGAATGAACAGCTTGTCTGATTATTTGCACTGAGGTGTGCATGGCTGATCTAAGGTTTTGGCTGAAAGTGGGGAGACCTGGCAGCAGAGTCCGCTGCACATTTAAAGAGGGGCTGAGGGAGCGGGTGCAGACTGAGGCAAAGGGACGGCACGGGACTCGGGGACTCGCCAGACAGCCAGCCCTGCAGCTCTCGCTCACCCCAGACAGCAGCCCGGTTCTGTGTGAGGGGCTTTCCAGAGCAAGCTGCCTCAAGTTGTTTCTGGAAGAGATGTTGTGTAGCTCTCCGACACAACCCCGAACGAACTGACCACCTGTTGGGCGGGGGGCGTAAGCCTTCGGCGGATATCGCCTTAATTTAACGCTTCCTTGCCCTCTCTGAGGCTGCCAGCCCAGGGGTGTCCCGGGAAGCTTTCTAGGTGACTGACTGTTACAGGTCAGTGAACACAGATGTGGGAGAGAAGCCTCTGTGGGGCGCTGCAGGTCCTACCGTATCGCTCTGTGACTGTGTGGCCCCATACGCGGCCATCCCGTTGGAGGGTGCGGCTGGCCGTGGGGTGTCAGGCTGGATGTACCCTCTTCTGTCAATGAGGCTGCAAGAGAAAACAGAACAATGCAGGGGTTAGAGAGCGAATAAAAAGCCCAAAACACCGACAACGCTCTCTTAATTTCCATCTCGAGGGTCCGTTTTCTGTGACGGGCCCCCAAGGCGCTTCAGAATACACCTCTGCTCGCCTTCATGTGTGGTCAGGCTCCAGAGTCTACCACTTCTGCCCTTAGAAACGCCTGGAGCATCTGTTCCCTCCCTGCCACCTGCTGCAGGCCCCGCACTCCCCCCCACCGTCCTGATCACGTCACCCCTCCTGCCTGCACAGCCTCCATCACCTGCCATTGGAGCCCAGACCCCCTTGCTCGGCCTTCAGGCCTCACACAACCTGTCCCCAACCTTCCTCTCCGGCCTCAAATCCACATCTTGTCACACATGGCATTCACAGCTTCATTCCTTCAACAAGCGTGTCTGAGCACCTACTACGCGCCAGTGCCCTGCCCGGGAGCAGAAGCCATGCACCCGCTGTGCGTTCTCTGCTTTGTCGTCTCTGTTTCTGTTCAGGCTGTGGCTTTTAATTGCCCGAAGTCACTTTCCCTTCCCGTCCGCTGTCCATCCTTCTCGGCCTCCAGCCCCTGCTCTTGGCCCTATATCCGCTTTCCTCCCTCATCTGGCTTCTCTCAGCCCTGCCTGTGATCCTCCTGCTGGTACATGCCACTGCTGGCCTGATGTCACAGTGATCTATACGAGTGACTTCTCTGTGGAGCAGCCCTCAGGCCCCCGAGGGCAGGCTTTATCTCGTCTCCCCCACGGCACCTGTCCCGGAGGATCTGGCCCCTCTGGCCCGCCCTCGGAGCGCCGTGGGCGCCGTATCACATCACGCTGGCTCCACGTGTTTCCGTGTGCGCCCGTCACGAAGCGTAAGCACCACGAGGGCAGAAACGGGGTCTTCTTCATCATCATTATCTCCACAGCTGCCCCCCAGCGGGTGCTGAGCAAACGCTTCTGACTGAGCGAGTAAAAACGGGTCCTCGGTTTCCCACCGACAAGTTTCCCGAACAATGTTTCTGTGTTCACTCTATGGCACTGCTGCCCAGGTAGGAGGTGAGGGTGAAGCTTCCTTCGCCATCAAAAGGGTTTTTGCCTATTTCCTCCCTGAGTGAAGACTCCGTGTTGACCCCGGGTCTAAGGACAGAACTGCAAGGGGCAACAGGAGGTTCGGCCACTAAATGGGGCTCCCGCCCTGGCCTCCCGTGGGGTGGGGCTGGGCCTCTGAGGGACGCCCCAAGCACATCCACGTGCCCACATGCTCCTCCTCCTGGGGGCGGGGCCCGGGCGGCTGAAGGCTGTTCCACGTGTCAGCTTGGCTTTCAGAAGATACGGGTTATACTCACAGCTACCACCTCAGGTCTTCCAGTGACAGACTAACAAGCCATTAAAAAATACTTACGAAAGGATCTGGAAGTGGGACTCTGCTTCAGCTTCAGTCAAATCCCCTGAGGTTTAGAAAAAACAAGAGGCTACAAGAACCTCCATCCTCCAAAGGGGAGGTGTTGGATCCCCATGCAGGACCGTCAAAGGGATTCTCAGACCAAGTCTGCGGCCACCTTCAAGGGTGTCAAAGAGCGAAGGAAAGGGCAAAGAAGGATGTCCTGGGGAGAGGGGTCACCCGCTCCTGCCAATGATGAGATCCAGGGGTGGGGCCAGGCTCAGTCCCTGGGAGAGAGCTGGTGTATAGCTGGCTCAAAGGGGCATGCTGGGGGTCAAATTGTTTGCTCCCAAAGGTATGCTGAAATCCCAGCCCTGGTAGGGACGAAGGGGTGGAAAATGTTAACTTACACTGAACTTTGAAGTTCCGGTTCACTGAAATGACACTATTTTGGAGGAAATGAAAGTGCCCCGAGTCTTTTTTTTTTTTCCAGCTGACAGAAGAAATTAAGGGACTTGCAGGGGATTTCATCCAGGAGCAGAAAAAGAACTAGGTCATCAAAAGAGTGGGGACAGCAGGGATTATAGAAAAAGTTGTTCTCGGCCTGCTTCCCATGCGTTCATCCTGTTCAGCCACGCACCCAAGACTGTAACACTCTGCCCCAAGCCTCTTTCTGGCCCTCAGAATGGCCCTCGAGCCCCTCCTAAGCTCACCTCATCTCTTGCCTTGCCCCCCAGGACCCCCCTCACTCCCCCAGTTCCTCCTCTGACAAGCCGGGCTCTCCTCTCACCTCTGGGCCTTTGCACATGCTGTCCCTTCTCTCCTCCCACAATTCCTTTTCCCCAGTTCCTCCTGATCCTTTAGAATGGTTCATACCTTACATCCCCCTCCTCTGGGAAGCCCTGCCAGGTGTCCATGGAACCTGCACCCCGACCCCAGCCCAGCCCCTCCCCCTGTGCAGACCTGCCCTGGACAGACCTGTATTGTTGACGTTCTCTCAGGCGCATCCCTGGACCCCAGCACACAGCACGTGCTCAGTGACAGCGGCCAAGTGAATTCTTACGACTGGCTGACCCACAGCACCAGCCCGTAGGGCCTGACCCTGACCACACCTTGGGACTTTCTGTCTTTCCAATCTTCCATTCCTCCTGCCAGACTCGTTATGAGGACCCCCTCCCAAACCTGGCTGTTCCCACCCTGCTGCCCCCCCAAACTCTGGGGACACTGCAGGGAATGGGACACGGGTCTTTGCCCCCGTGCTCCATGGCTCTCACGGGGAATCTTGAAGACACCCTCTCCCTCCCTCGTGAGTACATCGTCACACTAAGAATGCTTTAGAGGCACCCCAGGCACATGGCGCTGGGCACACAGGTGGTGCTTAGTCCCTGTCTGAGGCGAGGGACACTGCTCATTCTTCAGCCTGTCTGGGATGCCCGTGCAAGGCCCTGGTGCTCTTTTAGTGCACAGGGGTTGGGTGAGGCAGGGCAGAGACAGCAGAGGGCGAGGAAGGTGACAGGAGGGAACAGCGAAGACAGACACCATGCCCCTGCCCACTTCTGCCCAGGCCAGCTCTGGGAACCTGTGGGCAAGCGAGAGAGGGCAGCGCCCCATCTTCCTGCACAAACCCTCGAGTGGTCAAGCTCTTCCGAGGGGAGGGCCGTCCCTGAGAAATGCTCCATCCAGGGGGACTTGGATTTTGGAAAGAATACAGCCTCAGCTTAGCCAAACCAGCAAATTTAATCCAGTTGTGGAAGAAATAATTTCGCCATGATAAGACTTGATCTATAAACAACACAGAATGGCGCCAAATGCAAATCAAAGACTTGGGAACGGGAAAAGAGATTCGGGCAAAACGTGAGACTTCTATATTCCTTTCCTAGATTCAGGTGTCTATTTCAGAGACGGGGTAAGATGCTCGTTCATGTCTCTTTTGCCTCTTCTACTCTGTGCTTCATGGCCTGTCCCCACTATCCACACACACCATAATAAATAAACACACACCAGGAGGAAACACAAAGCTAAACTGTGAAAAAACAAGCATTTCCAGAGGGTTTTTCTGGCCTAAAGAGCCCCAAGAGGGACTCCTGGGTGCGTCTGGAGCTCTCTTGGGGGAGGGGCACCCTCCAGGCATGACGGACGCCCTGGCCTGAGGCAGCCCTTCCGTCCAGAGCCCTTGGCTGTCGCTTCCTGCTGTCCCTCCTCAGAGGAGGCCTGGGAGGGGCAGGTCAGGGGCCCCCGAGGGCCCCAAATTCAGGACGAGTGGCACACTGGGCTCCCAACTTTCTAGACCCAAACTGGAAAATGATCAATTTCTAATTACCCAATGGCACCAGGAACTATAATCCAGTACCAATTAATAAATGGCCTTGGAATATGTGTTTGCTATTTTGGGGGGCGGGGTGGGGGAGGGAATCACTCTTCCTTCCCTAATGAAGCTTCACTGAGGCTGACGATCAAACCCAGTTTGTGTTCCATGAGCACAAGTCAGTGATGACTGACCGTGCAGCTCTAAGTGCACAGCGGGGCTGCTGCGGACACGAGCCAGTAGCTTTTGTGGTTTCTCTCCATGTACACAGTTAGAGGCCAAAAGCAAGGAAGGCTTGGAAACTCATTCTAGAAACCTGGAAAACTTGCTTAGCAAATAATGTTTGATTTGGCTAATCTGTTGGAAATATTCTACAAGAGCGTAACTCATGAATAATCAAGACTAGGAGGCAGCTTCTACCATTGACACACACAGGTTCTGACGTCAGACGCCTGGGTTTGTGTCCTGACCAGGCAGCCTTTACCAACTGTGTGATCTTGAGCACGTTATTTAACCTCTCTGTGCCTTGGTTTCCTCTTCCATATAATGGGATATAATAGTACCGACCTCATAGGTACAGAGTGAGGTTTTAAAAGTTAATCCACGTAAAGCACTTAAAACAGAGCCTAACACTATCCAGTAAATGTCAGCCACGGCCATTATTAACAGGACTGCTGTCTTACTTATCATCACCACAATCTCCACTGCTTCAGCCCACACGGATCTCTCCCTCTGAACTATTTTAGCATTTCTATTCTGCACAACTCAGCTCTTAGCACTTATGTCTACAGGCTTTCTAATTGCTTCCTACCTTGTGTCCTGCTCCCTCATGACAGCTGGATGTTCATCATCTAATGATTCATGGGGTCACCTGACTCAGTGTCCCTGTTTTGATCCTGAGGGGATTTTCCCCAAACTTGACACAAATTCAGTAGAAAGTTATGCCAAGCATAACACAAGCCAGATCTCTACATCGTTAAGGCCACGTCTCCGCAGCACAGAGCGGCGTGCTGACCTGGCTGGCGGTCATTGCCGCCGGCCAGGTCACTGCTGCCCGAGGCCTGCGCTAACACATTAGGGTGTGTGCTTCCCCAGGTCTGTTATCGGGCATCGTGCCATCTGAATCTTACCTTGGAGAAATGGGCCCACACAGGGCAACACAGCAATTTGTAAAGATATTTCCGTAGCTGTAGGGGTTGTAATTCTCTTTACCTCTTTTATTTGACCAAGATCCTTTAATCTGAAAGAAAAGGATAGTCAATGACACAGTATCCATCACGCCAATGTCACAGTTCGGGCCGATCAGAAGAAGCCTGTAAAGAATGCAATGATCTTTACTCATTTCTTCAGCAGAAGAAACGGAGGTACTTTTCTCAAGGAAAACTGGCATTAACCCCAAACTTGGAAATATCCCCAAACAGCAGGTGAGACTGGGGAGAAACAACACTCTCTGGGGAAAATAATCTCTTATTTCTACTACATGGTACTTAAAAGGCAGCTCGCATGAGCCAGTGGAGATTCCTTGATGCTACATTTAGTGTGTTAAATAGTCATGAAATGAATGGTAGCGGAGAGGAGTACCACACCTCCCCTAATGGCCCATTTTTTTAAAAAAGATTTTTTGATGTGGACTATTTTTTTTTTTTAGTCTTTATTGAATTTGTTACAGCACTGCTTCTGCTTTATATTTTGTTTTTTTTTGGCCACGAGGCACGTGGGATCTTAGCTCCCCGACCAGGGATTGATCACGCACCCCTTGCATTGGAAGGTGAAGCCTTACCTATTGGACTGCCAGGGAAGTCCTTAATTGCGCATTTATGGCCTGAATTCAGCCTCACCACATTGCAGAATAATTCTGCAGGGTATTTCTAGTGTTCTCAGTTAGCATATACACATAGCTGTCTTAATATTCTCGGAACTCATCTATCTCATCAGCACTGGTTTTTCTCAAGGCTCGGAGGCAACCTAATTCTGAGACATTTAATTCATGTACTGATAGAGGCTTCTGTCAGAATCCAAATATTCAGAGCAAAAAGGACCAGGCTCACGAAGAAACATTTTCCAGCATTACGTTTTCTGGTTTTGTATTTCCTCTCCATCTGCATTAAGTACAGGCAGATAATCCTGGATAAAAAGTTAAACTTTGGGTCAGTGCGATTGCCTCCCCAAATGAAATGGAGCCGTTATCTGAGAGAGGCCAGCCTGTGAGGTCTCTCTTCATCGGGGCAGGGTGACAAGTTGCTGATAGAATTATTGCAAAGGAATAGAACAGAATCCCTCCTCGGGCCTTGGAATTGGGGGGTCACTCGGCCGATCTTAGTCTCTAAGTGACGTGGTCAGAGAGCAGGACAGTTCGGAGATTCGCAATAGAGAAATTGGAGACTGATGTCGGAAAATGCTTCCCGTGCAGGCTCTTTGCTCCCAGGGGCTCCCATCTGGAAAGGGAGGCCGGGCCTCTCACCTCTTCTTTCTCTATTTCCCACGAAAGAACATGCCCGCGTCCCACCCCACCAGGAACTTACGTCTTCATTTGTGGTCTGGTTGGAGCTGATCAGGTACGTGTGGAAACCCGAGAGCCCCACGATGGACCAGACGGAGAAGAAGCAGACCACGGCCTCCAGCACGGTACCCGGAGTCAAGGAGGTGAACCAGTAGGACCGTGACGTTCTTAGGGCCCCAGGGAGCTGGATGACTGAGATTTGGACAGAAACCGCCCCCAGGCCCTCACTCAGGCCCTTGCGTCCACCTAGCCTGGCATCAGTGGTCTTGTAGCCAAAGGAGACCCTCAGGGGCAGGCACGAGGCCACATTCTCCTTCATGGCACAGCGTTTGTGCTCAGTTAAGTGATCGGTGGGCTCCCTGAACAGGTCTCGTTCCTTTCTCATGGCTGACAGTTCCTCTGACTGCCCTTCCCACCCGACCTTGGCCCTTTCCTCGTGACTCGCTGTGTAGCCAAAGGCGGCGGCAGCAAAACCAGGAAGCATGCTGGCTGGAGCTGGCAGCGGCCCAGGCTTTTGATGAATGGACACAATACTGCACATCACTTCAATCACAGGCTCTACCTTTGGCTTCTGAAAGCTGGGACTGTAGCACTGACAGGTTTCCCTCTCGACCTGATTTGAGGCTGTGACAGTCATTTGCAGGGCTGACCTCGGGCGGCTGAGACCAGGCGGGGTTTATCTTCCTGGCTTTCTCTGTCCCTGGATGGCCCTTCCACCCCCTGGCTGCCTGCCCCCGCTGTGGATGGGCTTCTGACCCGGTGGGGCCATTTCTCGGTGTGGCATCAGGGTGAGCGGTAGTTTTTCTTAGGGGACATTTCCCAGCCCCTCAGCCCACCCCGACACATATGGCTGTCCTCAGCTATTGACAGGCAACTAGAAAACCTGGCTCCACACCAGACTGTGAGGGATGGGGAGTCTCGAGTTCCACAAGATGCACTAAAACCAAAGGAGAAAAAGCCTGGCATTCTTCAACAGACGAGACAAATCAGCCAGGAGTGTGGCAATTTGAAAAGACTAGAGAATATTCCTGTCCCACAAATACTTATAAAATTCTATTTACAAGATAAAGATGTTTCTCAGGAAAAAATAATTCATCATAGGTCTGGGAGTTTAAATACCCATCATGCAGCCTCCATTGATAAATTACAGGCCAGAGAAAGTAAATACTCATGCTTTCCTAATGCTTCCAGGGATGGAAGCCATAGATCATGCTGTAATACATCACCATTGATTTTTTTTTCAGGACTGGATATCATTTATCTTCAGAGCAGAGAAATGAATGTATCATCCGGTGCAGCACCGTCCTCTGCCACGTCATGATTAACAAATGCCACTGTCCGGCATGTGGGGCTGCATACAAAACAGGGGGAACGAATGCACTTCCTGCTTGTTCACTGACTTTCAGCTTCGGGGTACACCACTGGGTCTGCTCTTGGAAAAGTGGAAAAATGCTGTATTTTTCTTTCTAAGGTTTAAATTTCTAGAAACTGCAAGGCCTCAGAAAAGCCCCACCCAGAAATTAAAAGGACATCTCAAGAGGAGGACGCCCAGCTGGCCAAGGTGAAGACAGCGCAGAGCAGCGGGATCTTGCGGATCCAACACAGGGTGCCCCTGGGGGGTGGGAGTGCTGCCCGGTCCTCTCGGAGGAAAGAGGTGAACGGGCTGCAGGAGGAGCTGCACCTACCAAGAAAAGGAAGACTAAGGTGGATTCTGGAAAAGGGGATAAGTACGGAGGGGTGGGGAGGAGACGCAGAGAAGCAGGCCCCTCCTCAGGGCTGCCACCAGCCCTTCTTTTCTGCCAGGGTTACCCAGGGGGACAAACGGTTATGGCAGAGGCCTCGCTGCACATGGGGACACAGGGATGGTGGCCCAGGTAGCAAAGAAGATCTCATTCTCAACCGCCTCCTGACAGGTCGGGGCTCACAGACGCCCCCCCTCCCAGCCTCATCTCCCCACCCAAGAGGACACAGATCGGGGAGCAGCCACGTGGGAGCTCTGCCCGCACTGGCTTGAAAGCAGAGAAGTGGAGCCCAGGGAAAATGACGAGGAAGTAGTGGGAAGCCTGCGTCGGGAGAACCACGTTGTATAAAGGGGGATGACACTGGCAGTGACTTTGCACAGGCTGGAAGGAAAAGACAAGAGGCAGAAAGGTCAAAGAGGAGGTGACAAATGGAATGGAAACAAGGGTAGAAAAGAGAGAATGAAGAACGAACCAAAAGATTTATTTACTGAATAATACACGAAGAGCCCAACTTCGGTCTCGGAAATACTTAGATGTCAACGACAGTTTACAATCCAGGCAGAATGATGGTCATGTCAAAACACATGTAACACCCACACGTGTGAACCAGGTAAAAGCTGGCATGTGAAAGTGGAGGAGGTCACGGCATCTAACGTGCCTACGTCTCCCTTTGCAGCTCCTGTTCCTTTTGCGGCTGCTGTTCCCTTTGTGATGCCACTTACATGATTACCTCCAAAAGGAGGCGTTGTTACCAGTGGATGTGGAGTTTTAAATGTTTATAGCAACCCCCCAAATTCGCAGTGTTCTATATTAATATCTCATGTGCTTGGTAACATTTTATAAATAGCAGAATGCACTTTCACTGTTAGCTCACAGCTGTGTCCAAGTGAGGAATTCAAGGTAGGATGCAAGATGCAGCCCCCTCCGCCTCTCCCCTTACAGCTGCCGCTTCGCCCACAGGACGTCTGAAGGAATAATCATCATCATTCGTAACAATGGCTGGCATCACTGGCTGTGTGTCAGGTCCTGTTCCAAAGGCTTCACGTGTGATGAATTGGGAGATTGGGATTGACATAGATACACTAACATGTATAAAATGGATAACTAGTAAGAACCCGCTGTATAAAAAAATAAAATAAAATTCAAACAAAACAAAACAAGAGCTTCATGTGGATTAATTCACTTAATCCTCAGAGCAACCCAGTGAGAAGTGTGATTCCCACTTAACCGATAGGGAAACCGAGGCAGGAAGCAGTTAAGTAATTTGTTTAAGAAATAGCAGAGCAGGGATTTGAAGCTTGGAAGTCTGGCTCTGCCAGTAGGACAGAAAAGCCATGGGCCGATTCCTTTCTGAATTCTTGCTAAGGGACACGTGGCTCTAGGCTGACCCCAACCTCTGCTGGGGGAGATCGGGACCCTCCTTGTCAGGGTTTCTTGAACCTATCGCACCTTAAGGAGTCCATCCCCCTCAAATTCACTCTCAGACAGAGGTACGAATATCTGAACAACACATCTTCTCACTGACCCGATAGCTTGACGTTGAAATTATCTATGCCATAGTAAGTTAAGAAACATAAATTTCTTTTTTTTTTCATAAATTTCTTTTTAATTTATCAAAACCCACTTACTGATTTTTTTTTTTTTTTTTAAAAAGAGACATGAGTGGAAACAGGCCAACTCCAGTAGGAGCCAATTTAATAAGCAGCTGGATGTTTATTGCATCAGAGATGGGTTCCAAATCACAGCCATTACCACTGCCAGCCTCCATGTCTCCTCCCCAGCCCCCCAAAAAGAAAGGGAGCCCCCTCTGTGGCCAAGAGTATGGCTTTAGATTCCCCACAGCCGCTAGCTCCAAGTGCTGCACACTGAGGTACTCGCTAGATGACTATGGAATTGAAAAAGACTGAAAAATGCCGGCAGGCAGGCGCCCCTCCCTTGGGTTTCCACGCAATCCCACAAGTGCCTGCTCTGTGCCTTTCTAGGCACCTGGCCCGGCACTCCGGACAGCAAACGGTGGGGGAAGGTAAGCTTCCCACCCTCAGGGTACAGGGGTCTGCTTGCCTGTGGGCAGGTAAGCAAGGGGAGACGACCTTGCAGGGACATGGAAATAGTATTGGGCAGAATGGTGAGGGCACCTCAGTATTTGGAGAATCGTAAAAGGTGAGAGGTAAGGAACCAAAGGTTTTTAACCTTATTGGGTTCCTACGCTTTTCTCAGAAAAAATGCACATAAACACATTTTTTTCCTTATAATTTCAGGAGGCTTAAAAACGCCCCTGATGCCTCTGCATGGATACACATGGACCCCAAGTTAAAATGTCCTGATTTATTCTAATCCCTTCATTGTACAAATAGGTAAAATTTTATGTAAAATGAAGGGCTAAGGCCCAGAGTAGTCAAGCCACTTACAAAAACTCACATCGCACATCACGGCAGAACAGAACTGGAACTTGGTCTGCAGACTTCTAGGACAGAAAGAACCCTTCCCATGGCTCCAAGCTACGGAGTGTCACATGACAGGCCTAACTTTGGAGCCTCAAAGCTCACAACAGCAAGGCTGAGGCTGCCCGTGACATGCAACCTTGTCCATCAGTCCCACGGCCTTAAAGCCACCCCTGGGTGAAGAACTTGTCTCTGTTAATATGTCATCACCCATCTCCCCACATTCCAGCAATCAGGCTGGCGACAGGCTTTTTTGCCAAGTGCCAAATCTAGATTACAGTTTATTTTAAAAAGTCTGTATTTCATGTGGGTTTCCTCATCGACCAAAATCCCCGGATTCCAGAATGGCCAGGGAATGCCAGAGTCCAAGGCTCTGCCTCGGGTGCTTCCACTCTGAGCACTGGGCGTATGTGGCCAGGGTGCCGGTCACACCGCACGGTGCTGAGGGGCCTTTCTCTGTGGGCACCAGCCAGGCACCCCTGGGTCCTCCTGCATCTTATTCTGCTTTAGGTCTCTGTCTGGGGTTCTGACATTGAAAATATAAGAAACAGATGTTGTTGGTAATCATCTCTTTCTTTCTTTCTTTTTTTTCCCCCTAAAAGTTACAGTAAGATAGGCAATGCTCACTTACAGGAAGAGCTTTGATGGAAGGGCAGATCTCAGTGATAGACCCTTTGTCCTCTAGATTGAGGGTCTAAATCAGCATTTAATCCTTTTAGATATTTAGGTTCAGGAACTTGTCAGTATATTTTCCTCATCATTAGATGACCCTATAATCCTTAGATGGAGATAAGAAACTACAGCTTGTGCCCCTGTCATTACAGGGCCCACCACTGTGTCTGGGGTGGAGGCTGCTGACTTCCCGACGACTTACATGACAACACACTTTGAAAATCAAGTTTCTGGGACCTTTCAGACTGGATCATGGGACCATCATCCTTC